ATCTTTCTTCTATCATTGACAGTCCCTCTAGGTTGTGGGCTGCTTGCCTGTGTTCCTGAGAAGCATCTACGGTACCAGTCTATAGAGTGTGTTTTCTTTAGTGAATTACCGGTATGTTTACCGGTAATAAACTTGCACTGTTTTATGTATATGTTTGATTACATACAGCCTTGTGACAGTTTTCCTGCATGTCATAAGCATTTGAATATAAATTAAAATGTTAAAATCAAATCTGATATTGTTTTACCTTTTATTTGGTGTGTGGAAGGTGTGCGGAAGAGGGGGTAGTCTTATACGGCGAGTATATAACAAACTCTGTATTTTGAGTGGAAATGTTAGGGGGTCGTCTTCTACGCCCAGTCGTCTTATACGCCGGCAAATACGGTAACACCTCACCTTTTTTAGTATAATTAGCTTTTCAAAACATAGCACCTTAAGGGGCACTGTATAAGCTGTGCCAGAAAGCCAGTTGCTTTTGGAATATTTCAATGGTAGCTTAGGCCAGATCTTTAAGATAAGAGCACCTGAAAAACCTATTTGTGGTAAGAGGCAAATAATAGATATTTAAGAGGTGGCTGTCCGACCTGCCATGATGAAGTTTTTCAGAGGGAATCCTGGGCTGTGCCAGATCAGTGTTAGCGGCCTGGGTGGGACATAAGAGGCTTTGTGAAGGAAGAGGGAACAGGTTTTTAAGGAGACAGTGGGAACTAAGTCATGGGGAGTCAGGAATTCAAGGTCCTATGTGGACGGTGAGAGTAGGGGTTGAGATGAAGTCAAAGTGGGACCCAGTGAACACAGAGAAGAGTGAGTTGGCTCAGGTGAAAATCTGCCCTGGCTTTGGTCAAAGGGGACATTCAAATCACTATTTTGCAGGGTTGTATTCACACGTTAGGTCATTAGTATGGAAAATCTACTGGAAACAGCGTGGGTTGGGTTAACATTGATAGCTAGGTTGATAGAGACTGAGATATGGTGCCCACCTGCCTCAGAAAAGGAGCAATGGCCTCTGCCAGCACTTCTGTCTGGGAAAAAGCTACCCCTACAGCTCTCACCCTGATGCCAGACAACTTAGCTCTTCCAGGTATGTCCCTGGTGCCTTTCAAGCTGCTGCCCCAGCAGTGGAGCTCAGAGGGAGTGAGCCCAACTTAGTCTCCGTGGGGGCCCTTTAAGAGGAATGCCTGAGACTCAGAGCAGCCCTTCATCTCCCTCAACCTCAATTATCGCTGGGTTTTACAGCTAGAATGTATGGGGGACTTCACATCAAGGCTTGGAGGTGAAGAATAAAAATTCCGAGGATTTCTCAGCAGCTGAGGTCCCCCGCTGAGTAGCAAGGGGTCCCAGCGCCACACCAGACCCCAAGCCCTGGGTTTCAGTAGCAGGAAGAGATTTCATCTTTATATCCTTAGTTGTAGGACTTATATTCAACTAGATTTTAGGTGGTTGTTCTGTAGTGTATTTGTAATTTTTATGTGGTTGTGGGAGAATGCAAGTACTGCATTCACCTACATGGCCATCTTGACCGGAAGACAATCATTACACATTTTTTACATTTAATGTATATGAGCCAGTTTTTTTCATAGCAAAGTGACTAATTAGGAAAAAACTTTAGCCAAGCCATAAAATGAGTTAACAGTTTTGATAAAGCTGTAAGAGGATAAGTGATGCCTGATTTCTAGTGTGTTACAATGTACTGATCATAAAGATATTGTTGTAATCTGCAGGGGGCAGTAAATTGTCTTAGTTCACTGTGAATTTAGTATAATTGAAGCACCCTAGAAACTAAGTGAATGTCTCACATAGAAACTGAACTTAATTCTTAAAAATGATAAATTTAGGTATATTTGCAGTATAATGTAAAATGTTTAATTTGTTGGACACCCTTTTGCTACGTCACTTGTAGGTAGAATGTAATTTTTTATTACCAGCTTGTCTCTATTTGTGTGTATCTCCCCATTCATTCATTATCTTGCTCCGCTCTTGATCTTTAAAACATATAAAAGATAAATTATAAGATATTAATATCCAAACCATAGTCTATCTGGGTTGGGCCAGTCATTTAAAATAATTTAAAAGAACTAGTCAGGATGCCAGTATAACATCATGTTTTTCCAGGGGATTCAACTGTAATTCTATACTTGATTTTAGCCAAAAAGCTGAGAAGTGATTATCTATAATTCTTTGTCTCTGTAACTTTTATCTGAGAATTCCCCTTGAGTAATTTTAATGACTTTTTTGTTGTTGTTGTTAAAGTTGAAAAAAATACTTTAGTCTGCTTTTCCTAAATAGTGTTAACATAGAGATTTTAAATAAATTGGTTTTGATGGTTTGGCCCTTAATTTATTTTGGGGGGATTATTTTGATAAAGGGCAATACATGTTAGCTTTGTTTGAAAGGCATTCATGGCTCACCATTTTAACAGTTTTCTATGGCTCTTTCACAGAATCCTGCTGCATCACGGAAGCTGGGAGTTCTGATGTTCCATTGACATCACAATGGAAAGTCTTGACCTGACCGGTAAGACCAACACTGCAGATGCCATTTTCCTTACTTACCTCAAGCAGCCAAGGACTACATCCCCTCAGAGCTGATCTCAACTTTTTCTTATCTGATGGATTCACTTTCCTTATTGATCAGGGAAGTGTGATAATTGTCTTTTTTTTTCCTTGTCAATTTCATTATATTTTTTAAAGTGACATTTTAATCTCCATGATCAAGTAAGTTAAATTTTTCTTTAAAATCATGAATTTATATAACGTAACTGTTTCAGAGTCTTTAATTTGTTTCTCCACAGTAATGTACTGTTGGTGAAAAATTGATTTATTTAAGCCCTGAATATCTAGAGGTTACTAACATATCTAAATACCAAATTGGTCTGTTCCCGAAAGCTATTTTTTGTATTGCCTTAGGCTGACAGTGTCAACGTATTATGGAAGTGTTCTTTTTTTTACCTATTAAAAACAATAGAGGTGTATATAACAACATTATGAAACTTTTAAGGATGAAAATCACACAATGAAGAAAAAGTTGAGATTGCAAAATACATACATGTGACAAATTATATCAAATTCATAAACTCACAAATACTACAACTGTCCTCTTGTAGATAAGTTATTTCAAAGTTGTTTCTTTAGGAAAAAATTTTTAATGGGGTAAAATATAGCAATAACATCTTAAGATTACTTTTAGTAGTGGTTACTTAATGCATTCAGTCTTCTCATTTGAGAATAAAATGTATGATTACTTTGTTGGTACCTAATACTTTATGGTGAATTGATGATTTATAAGACCGGGGAATTTGATGTAAATTTAAATGAACATATATAGAAAATATAGTTCCATTTTCAGGGGATGAACTTATTTTTTAATTATCATTATTAAAAACAAATCTTAAATATTTTCTGTTTTTAAGTATTTTTATTTGTTAGCTTATTAAATTTGTCTAGAATATCTGTGTTAGCTTCTTGTTTTAGTAACTATATGATTGAATGTTGATATGTGAGCATAAATATAAGTCCTCTGACACTTTCCTCTGAACATCATTGTATAGGATTATACACATAGTAAAAATGTATACAATTTAGCTTGAATGTGTATTTACTGGGATTTTTAATACCCAACAAAATCTTAATGCCAATGAGAAGATTGGGATTTAGTTACTTCTTCTTTTCTGTGCTATCCTTTAAGGCAAAATAAGTTAGAAAAACATATTCTGGATTTAAGAATGCCAGTTAGGATACAGTTGATTATGGTTTTACTGAATCAGTAAAATATACTATAGAATATTTGAATATTGATACTTAAATTTCAAACCAGGGAGTTTGAGTATAGTGAGGTTTAAAGAAAATTCAATTTTTATCAGTATTCTGAATTTGCTAAACATGAATACATATATGAAAAGTAAAGCAGGACACCATCTGACCTGTTTAGAAAACTAAATTGTTGTTCAGCATTAGTACAACAGACTTTACTTTTAATCTTTGATTTCTGAATGCTAATCAGATTATTTCAAGAAAAATACTTTTATTGACTAGCAGAAATTGACAGAAATTCAAGTTGCTGGTAACTTTAAGAAGATCAATTATCTAATACCATATGCTTCCAGCTTCCATAGATGTTCATCTTAAATGCAGTATTAATTAAGAAATAGAAAAGATATCATTCAAAATCAGGAATAATTTAGGAAACAAATCCTGGAAAATGTTTTGTGACAAAAGGATGCCAGGGTCCAATAAATCTAGAAGACATGCTATATGTCATTCAGCTTAGGCAAAGTTGTGTTTCATTATCCAAAGAGTTCCCAAATTTTAGTGATTCATAGCAGTGAACATTTCTCCCGTGTTTATGTTTCTGATGAGTCTGCTGCCACTCTGCTCCCTTGTCCTCTTTGTTCCTGGACCAAAGCTGAAGGAACAGCCTCTTTGGGATATACAAATATTGTGACAGAAGGAGAAGGGATGGTGGTAGAAATGGAGTCTCTTAAAACTGCTGCGTGTAAGTGGCACTACCTCTTATGTTTCCTTAGCCAAGGCATGTCACATGGGCAACCCTCATGTCATAGGGTAAGAATGGCCTTTTAAGAGAGATGTGATAAGGGAAAGTTGATAGGGGGGCATAGTGCATATCGTTACTATAATATCTAGTAATATAAATAATCTCATTTATAACTCTTCTAGAAAGAGTACACAGGTATATTTAGCTCCCAAGAAGTTCTGTAGTAAATGTGTCTGTTTAACATATAAAGGTATTTGACCATGAATCCTTTTGTTATTACATGGAATACTTTGACCTGTGATACACTATCTCTGACAAGTTTTAAGGAATGAGGAATTGATACAATTCAGTGTTTCTTGATGTTTTGAACATGAGGACTTTTTCCACCCTGTAGTGAAGGTTTCTTACATTACGGTTTTTATAAGTAGTTTTACAATGAATTAAAATTACTATAGACTGGACCATCCATAGTTTGCATCCAGGATTCTTATAACATTTTTCTTAGAATTTCTGTGCATTTTAGTATAAAATATGTTCTGTGCTTACTGGATATTCTGTATATACACATGTAATGTTGTATATATGAGTGTATACTCCTAGTTTTTTAAAATACCTTCTTTGGAAAGCTAAGTAAGTTAAGTTCATGCTAGATAATGTTTTCTTCATGCCTGTATCCCCAAAACCTAGAAACAGTGTCTGGCATATGGAAGTTGCTTAGTAAACGTTTGGTGAATTAGCACTACAAGTTTTTATATTTCATTAATCCTACATTCCATTGAACTTGGTGTTAATAAGCATCTCCTGCTCTACCTGGAAATAATTATTTTTTCCAGTCTGAGTTCAGAGAAAGGAATGTTATTCAAAAATAAATGTTTCTCTGTGTCTTTAAGTTTGCAGTTAGTCCTTTCGTCAATAAATATTAGTGGGTTTAAGAACTTAAAATGAGCAGCAGAAATTTCTGGGTATCTGTTGGCTCATTTGTAGTGTACCCTGTAGTGTGGCTCAGCTGGTTGGGTGTCATCCCATGCCCCAAAAGGTGGCTGTTTTGTTTCCTGGTCAGGCACATACTCAGGTTGCAGGCCAAATCCCAGTAGGGGGCATGCAGGAGGCAGCTAATTGATGTTTTGCGCTCTCGCATCCATGTTTCTCTCCCCCTTTATCTCTCTCTCTCTTTCTCTCTCTCTCAAGAAAAAAATACAAAACAATAAAAACCTTTTTTAAAAAAGCTACCACTAATTTAAAAAACAAAACAAAGTACCAGTGATGTGGTGAATCCTGTCCTAAGTATTTTCAGTTATGCCACACTAATTACAATAAAGAATTGCCAGATTAGAGAGAAGGTGTTAGGTGCATTCACATGCAGAGTAATATATGCCCACTTACCCATCCAGATACCACTTGGATGAACATGTACATGAAACTCTGAACTCTTCCTTCAAGATAGTTTTTAATTATCTATTTTCAGCATTATTAGAGTTACCAAGCCATCAATTAGGTGTATTACCCTTTATAATAAAAGTCTGATATGCAAATAGACCCAACAGCAGAATGACTGGTCTCTATGAGGCTCACTGAACACCAGGGGCCAGATGCTCAACACAGGAGCTGCCCCTTGGTGTTCAGTGCACTCCTACAGGGGGAGCACTGCTCAGCCACAAGCAGGGCTCATAGCTGGCGAGTACAGCAGCAGTGACGGGAGCCTCTCCTGCCTCTGCGGCAGTGCTATGGATGTCCTACTGACGGCTTAGGCCAGTGATGGCGAACCTTTTGAACAGTCTGGCAGCAGAGGCTCAGAGCAGGTGCCGTGTGTGTATGTGGGTCCCCTGGGGACCTGCCCTTAACAAAGAAAAATCAACCAAAAAAAGAGTTCGTGTGTCACCTCTGACAGGCGTGTTAGAGGTTCGCCATCACTGGCTTAGCCATCAGTCGGACATCCCCCGAGGGCTCCCGGACTGCGAGAGGGCGCTGGCTGGGCTGAGGGATCCCCCCACCCTCAGTAGATGAATTTCATGCACCGGGCCTCTAATATTATAAAAGAGACAATAGAGAAAAGTTTGAAATGAGCAACCCTTATCCCCTTTTTAAATAGAAACCTCTTTTTATAGCATTCAGTCAGTCCTGCCATTTGATGAAGCATACAGCTCATCTTTCAGTTCATTTGGTGAAGTGAAACCTTAAAGAATGATCAGATTTTCAGGCTGGAAAGTTTAGTTGTTCTTGTTAAAATGATGGGTGTTACTTTTCCTTATTATTAACTGAGTTTCACTTTTTAGAAAATGTAGATAAATTTTTCTAATAAGGCTGTTATTATATGTCTTATTAATGGTCAAGATGTCCCAGTTATGTCTCTTTTAAATGAGTTTTTCTTAATCATCAAAATCATAGAATTTTTTACCAGTTATTTCTGTTGTAATAAAATATTTCATACATTTGAGTTTATAATGTGGCTGTCGGGAAGTAGTTTAGAACTTTTACTTTGGAATGCTGATAAACACCCTTATTCTTGCCTCTAAATTGTCAGCTGTGTAATGCTCACTATTGCTCCCTTGAGATTAATATGTATAGGCAGAAACTTAAAGGTTTTCTTGTAGAAAATTTACGTGGATTACCTTTTTTTTAATTTTATTTCTTGAGCTGTCACTTTATCTCAGAAGCATGGGCTTTGGAATCAGATGGACCCAAGATAAGACTAAATCTAACTCAGCTGTTTACTGACATGGGACTTGGGAAAATTACTTAGCTTCATTGTGCAATGGAATGAATACCAACCATGTAAGATTGTTATGAGGATTAAAAGGGCTGGAGGGTGCAATGCCAACCCAGCACATGGCAGGGCTACTAAGAAATGTGATTGTTCTCAAAAATAACTGTAGGTCAGAAGTGACATTTTTTGCTGCTTAACTGTTCCTTGAAATTGACTTTTGAAGCATTTATTGTCTCTCTTTACAAGGGAAATGTTTGGCTTCAAATTGTACATCTTTATGTGGGAAGTTGAATTGAATTCAGGATGGATTTGCTTTAAA